CCCACAGGCTGTGGACTAACTGTGCCTCTGTCCCCTTGGTGACAGCAGGGCAGGACAACAGCCTGTGAATATGACATTAAAAAACAAACCATCATCCTTGGGATAGGCAACTGAGGTTCGGAGGTTGTTACTGCAGCATAACCCAGCCTAAACTGACTTATACACTCAATAATTTGGTTTAGTGGCCATTTGTTGATCACTTACAAGGCAGACACTCACAGAGGTGATACATAATCCTGAAAGCACTCAAGCAAGGTCAGAATCATTACTTCATCAAACAGGTAAGAAACTGAAATACAGAAGTGGTGGTGACAGCCACACAGCCAGTACAGGGAGAGCCAGGATTCAAGTCAGAATAGTGTGGCTCCAAAGCCAAAGTCATGAGCCAGACATGTTGGCATACCAGTGGTCCCAAGATGTAGAAGTCTGAGGCAAGAGGAGAAGAGTTTGAGGTCAGCCAGAACTACACAGCAAGACTCTGTCTCAAAAGCAAAATCAACTTATAACTTCTGCAAGCATCAACTCTTACAAGGTACCATAGGCTTCCAGAACCTTCTCCAGCCCCAGGCATCTGTCATCTCAAGGGTTAGCAGGGGCTTCTGACCAGGGCTGATAAAATTCTGGTGCCAGAGTCTCCAAAGACAATGTGCATCTGTCCCCCAGTCCTACAGCCCCTCAACAAGCCCTGAATCCTGTGTGAACCTCTTCTGATGGCTGGGCTGGTCCTTCACACCAGTATGCATCCATGTACCAAAAGAATATTAGCTGAGCATCTACTTTGTGCCAGTAACTCCTCTGGGTTCCTAGGAATTAACAGTGAGCAAAGGCCATGGGAGCTTACTGTCTGCACTGGAGAAAACTAACAATACTCACAGTAAGCACATTGGAAGGCTACACACACATGGAAGGCAGAGAGCAGGTGGAGCGGACCAGGAGGGAATTCCATTTAAACAGGTCTAACTTGGCCTTGAGGAGGAAGTTCTAGACAGATGGATGATGGAAGGAGGGGAGGGAGGGAGGGAATCAAGCAGGCACTGGCTTGGGGCAGCCAAGCAGCCCAGCAACCAGCACAAAGACCCTTACATGGGACTGTGCTGTTGTCTCCTCAGTCCTCGAGGGGACAGCAAGGTGGACAGAGCAGCAGGGGGCAGGGCAGAGGCCAGGGAGGCAATAGGGACCCAGCATATGCACAGATGGCACTGCGATTACCCTCCCCAGAAAGGAAGCCAGCACTTTTTCCACAGCCTTATCTGATGCTGTGGTCAGAGGAGCGGGCGAGGGTGGGCGTGAGGGCTGCTTCCCTAGCACATCTGAAGAACCTCAGCGGGGCCTCAAGGCAGCTGACATCCGCTTGGCCTGTGGCTTCTGTGGCTTCCGCTACACTGGGTGCCCCGTGGCTGCTATTTTTGCCCCTGTTGAAGGTTCTATGGTATGGTCATCTGTGCCTGGCCCCTCTTTTGAGTTTGCTCTGCTTGGAGTATACGGGGGGCATTTCAGTGTTCCATGTGTCCCAAGGGGGACACAGCTAGCAAGTAGAAGAGATGGGTGGTAAGTGTCATCTTGTTAAGTCCCATGACCCTGCAGGTGCAGAGAGATTAGGTGGCTTGTCCAAGGTCACACGGTCAAGTCAAACCACAAACTGAGGAGTCTAAAGAGGTTTGTCTGGGCCTTCAGGGCCTGAATTACATTTGCAGGGCCTTCTTTCTACTTCTTCCCTATGTGAGTATATCCCAAGCAGACACTGCTCCTGCCTTCCAGCGGGCAGGAGAATAAAGGTCCATCATCTGTGGTCCTTCAGAGACTCAGAGTGTACCTTGGGGGACTGTGACACACACAGAGGAGGCTTTAGGAAAACCATGACGTCCCATCCAGGCCTGTGGATAAGCGGCAATTGGAGGGGGTACAGGAAACCCAAGGTGAATAAAGGGGTCTGGAGATTAAGAAGCAAGAGGCAGGGCAGCTCAGCCAGGGGGAGGATCTTTAGAGAGCCATAGACAGGATCCCGGAGGAAGCAGAAAATGCTGAACACAGAAGTGGATGAACCCCAGGCAGGCAGGTGAGGCTCTGGGAAGGACCCAGTGCTGGGAGGCACGTCAAACCAAAGGCATTTAAGAGGTCTGGAAAAGAAGCACATATCAGTGGTTCACAGAGACCCTGCTGGTCACTCGGAGGGCAGATTGGAATGGGAAGACTAATAGCAGTAGACTCCTGAAGTCACCCAGGGGGTAGGTGATAGTTAAGAGGGACAGGTGATCATGCACTGAGGGGGCAGCCAGCAGTAAGGCAGGGAGACCCACAATGACTCCAGATCTGTGGCTCAGGCTTAGGCAGAGAGTCACAGTCACTAAGATGGGCACCATGGGGGAGTGAGATGGGACTGATCAAGAGACAGATGCTACAATATTCTTTCCTGGCTTGGATGCTGCAAACGATGCTCGCACCCTTCATGAGCTGCCTCAGAGCCTAGCAGCTCCTCAGAGATGAGCAGCAAGAATCTCCCAGCTAGAAAAGAGTGAAAGGGAAGCCCACACCATTGGATTCTGGCTCCAGTGGTCATCTCCACAGAAACACCCTGGCTACCTCTTTGGAAAACATCTCCGGAGCCCAGGAGAGGCAAGAATCACCTGTGTGTAACTTTTCAGACCCCTGCAGGGTCACAGGGGCAGCCCCAGCTGGGCCCCAGTTGCCCTCTCCTATGGCACCCTGCCTCAGCCCCTTATCTCAGTAATAACCTGCTGGTTCATGAAAAGGGCAGCTCAGAGAATTGCAGGGGCATCCAGTGGGTCTCAGGCAGGAAGTTTGTCTTCATCAGGAAGCCCATTCTAGCAAGACCCCTCACCCCCTGACTGCCAGTACGATAGAACAGGAACAGTTGGTGGGACAAGCCTAGTTATTCCATTTATTTTCCTGGGGAGCTCACCCAGGGGTGACACAGTGTCTAGAGGAGCCCCATAACCAAGGTCCCCACTCCAGGTACCTTCCTTCTTCCCATGAGCCTTCAGTGGGAGCCTGCTATGTGCAGACACCTGAGCTGGACCCCAAACCCCCCAGGAAGGGACTACATTTTTATTTACCAAGCGCTATGCTTTCTACGTCTTGCCCCCTGTCCTCCCCTCAACAACCTGTCATCCTGTAGAGTCAGAGAGGTAAAGTGACCTGTCTGAGGTGACACAGTGATGCAGGAATGAAGACCTGCTCAAAGCCAGCCTCTAGACCCTTGTTCAGTTTCGGGTCCTGACAGTAGTTATGCCGGGAAAGGCAATTCTCCAGCCACCCTTTCCCTTCCATTCCCTTATCTCCCAGGCCTTCCCTGCATCCAGCACAGGCTTGGAACACAGGTGACAATCAGCAGCTGGTGAATTGCTCACTTGTCCCCCAAAAGACCTCAACACCAGGCTGCCTATCAATCTTGAAGAAATTGTGCAGGAAACATTCAACTAAAAGTCAATTCTGGTTTCAGATAACCACCAAGTCCCACAATGCTCTCTCCTCTCCATAGGAGAAGCCAGACGGGTGACCGGAGACAGAGAGACTCCTATCAGCTATACCCCACACAGTGTCTCCAACTCTAGATGCAAAGGGAAGATCCCTGGCCACATACACTTGCATCAGAACAAACCCCACCATGCATCCTGGCCTCCTCCACAGTTGAGTCATTTTCTGGGTCATCCATCCATCCATCCATCCATCCATCCATCCATCCATTCAACATGGATGAAGGTCCATGTAGCTACTAGGTCAAGTGTGAGCAATGTGTGGATAGCTGTGGGCAGGCACAGCTGTGTGTGTGCACACACATACTCACCACATGCATACATATATTACATAGAGAAGGTGTCAGTACCTGTTTTATAGGTGAGGCTCAGGCAACCTGAGGGAGCCATCCTATGCCATGTACTTAGGGCACAGTGGGGATTTCAAAGTAGTCCCTAACCCAGGTCCCGATGCCTAGCTGACTGCCTGGCTTCTCCCCTGGATAGCCCTGGGCCTGCTGCTTCACTTGCATTCTGCCCCCCATGGGGATTAGGAAGGGATACTCAGGGAGCATGGAGGATGCTCCCCTTTCCCCTAATGTTCCAGATGAGAGACAGGCTAGAGATGAGGGGTAGGCCTGAGCTAGCAGCTTCCATTTCTGGGATGTACATGGATGAAGTGAGATCCTCAACACTGTGAGAAATCAGAGCACTTCTGGTTGGGTACAATGCTGTCAACAGCAACAAGCCCCACCCCCAGCTCAGCCCCCACTCCCAGCCAGCTCCCCAGGGGCAACTGGGAAGTACCTTGTCAGAACCTCCTCCACCTGCTCCTTATATGCTAGACCTTGGGTATGAGACTGAGCCCTCCCTCACTTGTTGCTGCCTAAAAGGATTGCCAGGGAGACCCCAGGTGGTTGCTTCCCATATCCTTACCCCACACACAGGCGTGCCTGAGGATGCTGCTTGTTAACAGAGATCCAAGGCAGACTGAATTCTAAAGCCGGAAAAGAAAAAAGTGGCCTTTACTACAATGAGGGGAGAATTCTGATTGTTTTCCTAGTCTTCAAACTCTCATTCCTGGTGCCGTTCCAAGCTGCAACTAGCCCCTGACACCTTCTCAGAAGATCCCTCCCACTGCCTAGACCCAGTGTCTTCTGGGTCCCTGTATGTCAGTGTTCTCAGTGTTTCTGGTCTGAGTCAGCAAGATAAACACACACACACACACACACACACACACACACACACACACACACACACACACACACACACACACACACACGGCCCTACATTTGGCCAGGCCCACTGTTAGGATAAGTTGAATGCATGAATGACCACCTCCAGAATTCCTCTTTAGAGAGGAAGAGCCATCTCCAGGCCCTGGACCCTATAAAGCACCCTCACTGTAGAACACGGCAGGCACCAGCCCCTGTCTGGCCCCACCCAGCATCCAGCATTTCCTGTCTTGACCCCACAGGGCCAGCCTGAGCACCTCCACCCCTTGAGGCAATGGGCATCTCGGCTTACCTTCTTTGGAGACACACCTGCAGTGCACCAGCGTCTTGTGAAAAGGAGCCCGAGTCTCATTCCATAGAAACCCAGGCAGTGAGAGAATGCGCCCGCGACAGCCTCTGCGAGATGCTGCTGCATAATCAGCAGAGAAAGAGAAAAAATGCCAGAAATAGCAGCTTTATAAGCCCTCCCGACGACTCTTGGTCCTCTATTGGCTGGAGGCCCAGCACCCTCACCCCCCCATCCCATTCCTATAAGGTGAAATGGAAAAACCTGTTATTTAACCTCTTTGATACAAATCCATCTTCTATCCCAATTTGGGCCCTCACGTTCAGAGCTCCACACCAGGTCTCTCAGAGTGGAAGGGGAGGCAGCCCCCATACACAGCCCAGCCCTACGTCATCCGTGGCTTCAGAGGCACGCTGCATCAGAAGGGTCTTCGGAAGGCAATTTGACAGCACTTGTCAAGGTTTGAAACTTGCCTGCCTTTCATTCAGCAGGGACTCCTGAGCATCCATGCTGTGGACATGCCTGCACCTTGCACACAGGTATGCCTGAAGAGGTTACTTGTTACAGAAATCCAAGGCAGGCTGGATGTCTAAAGCCAGGGGCTGACTGGATATGCATAGACACATTGGTTCTACGGACTAGGGTGGTCTGGATGCAGCTGCAGGTGCCAACATGGAACTGGTTGAGAGGGAAAGTCAAGGATATGGTCCAGTTTTTATAAAAATGTCAACTGTGTGTGCATATGTGTGCATGTATATTTGTATTTACATTGCAAAGGGCACCATGCCATTAACCCTGTTCATCCCAGGGAGCAAGAGGTGGCCTATCCTACTGCTACTTTCTTACTTGTTTTTTCTCTTTTGCATAAGCATGTATTGCATATATAATTTTAAACAAAAACATGGGAACCTGCCTTGGTTGCTTAGCCCCTCCTGAAAACAGCAGACCAAGGGCCAAGGCCATTCTCTGCAAAGCTAGAGGGGGTTTGGGACAGTGCAGGGTCTAGGCCCTGAGCGTTCCCCAGCTATCTCATTGACTTTCATATAAATGCAGCTGAATTAGGACTCTAATTCAGAAGAACATGGACACTAGAAGAGAGTGGGGTTCAAATTCTAGCTCTGCTGGCTAGGAGAGCTGGTTTCCCTGGGCCTCTGTCTACGTGCAGGATGAGAACAGTATTTACTAAGTGCCACGTGCTGTGCTCGGTGCTGTTACACTGACTGGACATTGTGGGGCACATCAGAAGCAGCAGTAGCTGAGGCACTGTCAAAGTTGAGAGCTGACCCAGGACTGAGCAAGAAGACCTCTGGAAAAGCATCCCATCAGTCAGCACCTCTAACAATGACAGACTGGTGACAGACAGGGCCAGGGCACAGCAAAAGGCCGTGTGATAAAGCAAGGGGCCAGAACCCAGTGTGGAAGGAAGGAGCCAGGGTGGAGGATTGGGGAAGGGCAGAGTCTAGCTTCTGGGCCTGGGCGCCTTGTTCCTGCTGTTCTTTCTGTTCCCTCTGCTGCTACCTCTTCCCTAGCCCCACCCACAATGGCTGCTTCCCCCTTCCCACACTTCCAGTTCTGTTCCAAGACCTTCCTTCCCAGACTGAACGCTTCTCCTCCCTCCTGCATCTGGTCACGCTCTTTACAGTACGCATGTTTGCTTACATAGGATGTTTCTGTGTTTACTGTTTATCTTCCCAATGACACTGAGCTCTGTGATGCTTGGGACTGTCTCATTCATTTCTGGGTCCTAGACAAGGCTTGATACCCAGTAGGTGCTCAAAACATAGAAAATACATACAACCATAGTCCAGGCCAAAGCCAAGCATATAGTGCTTGTTTGAAGGAAAAAGTTGCAAATTTTGTACTGTGATATAAAGATAAATATTTTACAGACACATTGAGGAATTTAAAGCACCTTAAGAGTATAAAGGTACCATAAAAAAAACTAGCCATGAATATTTACAAAACTTTAGGGTGGCTAAGAATGCTCTAAGCCCAAATTCATATGGCTAGGCATATTAATTGTATCATTTTATAAGGAAATAGAAATTATAAAGTCAATTGATACAGGAGCGGTTTTAAAAAAGTATGGTTTTTCCATATAGTAGAATGTTATGCAGTCAGGAAAATGATCGGTATTTATCGATGTGGAAGGAAGTCTATGTTTTTGCTGAATAGTAATAAACTATTATAGTAATAACAGCAATAACAGTGCTCATCTGAAACCAGAGGGTTTTTTCAAGTTAAATGTGCAGCTGTCACAGAGAAAGCATGAAGGTAAAAATCCTCCAGTCATTATTCAATTAGTGTCAAAGATGGGAAATCCCCAGTAAGTTGAAAATATCCTCAATAAAATAATACAAGCCGGGCGTCGTGGCACACGCCTTTAATCCCAGCACTCGGGAGGCTGAGGCAGGCAGATCTCTGTGAGTTCAAGGCAAGCCTGGTCTACATAGTGAGTTCCAGGACAACTGGGGCTACAGGGAGACCCTGTCTCAAAAAAATACATTTAAGATACCTAACACAGACCACCACAGCTTAGCCCAGTCCACCTTACACAGGTTCAGGGGCTCATACAGATGCATCAGTTGGGCAAGATCACTTAGTGTAAAGCCTAGCAGCACAGTGTTGACTCAGGTACGGACTAACAACTGTACTGAAATTGAACTTCAGGATGGACATGCAGCTTCTCAGAGTACCTTTCCCATACACATTCTGCTTTCACACCATCTTGCTATCATTTCGTTTGTTTTGTTTGAGATAGGGTCTTACTCCATAACCCAGGCTGGCCTCAACTTCCCAATCCTCCTGTCTTCCCTTCCCAAGTATTGGGATTATAGACATAGGTCACCAATCCCAGCCGCTTTTGCATCATTGTAAACAACAACAAAATCTTGGATGTAAACTGACTCCTAATGTCTTATTGTTATACCCATAGATTGGTGTGTCTCTCAGCGCTCACAAAGGAAGGTTCTTCTTGCAGCAGATGGTGATGAATAAAGACCCACAAGTGGTCAACACGCAGAGAACAAGAGACTGCAGAGTTCAGCCCTAAATGGGACACCTTAATCCTTCCCTCGTCTCCCAAGGCTTAGGGATCACTGTGGAAGAGAGGGCCTAAAGACTGTAAGAGCCAGAGGTGGTGGATAAACACAAGAAAACCATGCTGTTTGGACACAGGTGGTCAGTCATATGAACCCACAGCACTTATGACAGCTTACAGAAGACCTATGCCAAAGAATCCAAGCAGACAGGGACCCAACATGGATCGGGGAGGTGAGGTGGTCAGGAAGCCTCTGTCCTGAGGATCTACTAGTACTTGATGGATACTAGGAGATGGAGAGGGAGTTTTCCTTATTGCCGTGATGTCTGGTAGGTTGGCCAGGCTCCAAGAGATAGACCCACACCCAAGAGCACTGGAGAAACACAGATTAGACTAGATAGGCCTTTTTAAAAAGACAACAATAGAGGACATGAAGTGGAGGAGGGATAGTAGGGCCGAAGTGAAGAGGAGGAGGGGTCTAAAAATGATCAAAATACATCGCATGACATTCTCAAATCAATAAATTGTTTTTAAAAATCTTGGGTAGAACCATTCTTAGTCAGGGCAGTACAGATAGAGGAAGGGGTTGCCTCTGAAGAGGCTGAGTGGGGTTGACAAAAAGCGAGTTCGGGAGGTCTCTGAACTCTTCACCGAACTCTTAGAGTCTCTGTTCTAGGTTGGTTTCCATTGCTGGGATAAACACCATGACCAAAACCAACTTGGGGAAGAAAGCGTTTATTGCACCTCACACTTCCAAGTGACAGTCCATCTTTGAGGGAACCTGGAGGCAGGAATTGAAGAAGAGACCATGGAGGAATGCTGCTTACTGCCTTCTCCCCTGGCCTGTGCTCAGCCTGCTTTCTTATACAATCCAGGACCACTTGCCCAGTGGTGCCACTGCCCACAATGAGCTTGGCCCACCTAGAGCAATGAGCAATTAGGAAAATGGCTCACAGACACGTCCACAAGGAAATCTGATGGAGAATATTCCCCATTTGAGGTTCCTACTTCCCAGGGGTGTCAAGTTGACAACCTTAGCCAACCACAACACCCTTTCCACAATCCAGTTACAGAAAATGGCATCACTCTGCAGAGCTGAACCCAGGAGAGAGGTCTCTGGACTTCATTCTGCCACCTGTGCTGGGAGGTGGGCATAGTCCTGCCCAGGTGTAATGGTAACGTGGAACTTCCCAACTGATTATGTACCTTGAGCACACTAGTAACAAGGACAGGCAGGGCTGGGGCAGGTGACCCCAGCAGGCTAGTAGGCAAACCTCAGCTCCATTTCAGACCCTGTACCCTTCACTTGGCACTGAGCATGAGGCCAAGGTACACAGGGCAGCCTGGAGGGGCTGATGCCAGGAAGGAACCAGGAAAGGGCCCTGCACCTGGAGGCTCCCCAGAATTTTGTTTTTAGTTTTCAGATTACGAGGCCAGCTGCTGGATGGTTATGGTTCAAAACAGAGAGAGATGACTCAGCATCCTGCAGAGGAGCTGAGGCCTGCTGGAAAGATGTTTCCATTTCTGCGTTTTTCTCTAGAACCCTAGAGGTAGCTCACAGGAAGGGGGGGGGTTGCAATTTTGGTGTTCAAGTGTCCATTCCCAGAGCGAGGGACAGGGACCATGGCCAGTCTCTGAGGTCAATCCACCTTGATTTGAATCCTACCTGCCCTTGTCCAGACATCTCTCTCAGCCTTTGTTCACTAATCTGAAGATGGGAATTGTAGTCCCTTCCCAGGGTTACAATTCAAAACAGTTGTCACCCATGGGAAGGTGCTAGTACAAAGTCAATAGTTCATAGATATCACTGTTAAGAACAGCAGCCCCCAAACCAGGCTCTCCTGCACACCCACAACAGCACAAGTTTCCATCTTTTATGAGCTGATTTGAGTTTCTGGCTTCCCATTCGTGAGAATCCATGCACACACCCAGGTCAACCTACCAGACTTTCCTCTGATCCCCTCTGCTCCAATACCACACACTCCAGCCCCTCACTATCTTCATTTGCAAAATGGGGACATGATGAGACAATTTGCGGAAGCTGCACGAAAGAGGCCAGGGAGAGAGCTGAGTCAATAAGTACAGTACACACCTACACAAACACGAGGACCTGAGTTAGACACA